TCGTTCCGGATAACACGGCGGGATGAATATAATTTGGTAAATATCCTGTTACAATCATCATCATGGAAAATCATCTGAAGCACAATCATTTTTCCAACTTTAGACAAATAAATATATTCTCACGAGCGAGATTTAAGTCTTTTGGACGAGTGAAGCAAGAAATGGCTTATGAGGTTTAATAAAAGTAAGTGTAAACACTGTAAGAAAAATTTCGGGAGTTTCGGATTATTCTTCGTAAAAATTTATGGCGATAAATCCGGATTTCGCTTCATGCTCGGACAGTATTTCCTGCATTTCTTCCGAAACCCCACTTCGTCTTCTTTTTCGGAATTCTCCTCCTCTTGAACAAAATATTACGTCTAAGGGACCGACATGCGAATTCCGGCGTTGAAGCGAACGACCCTTTTCCTCGTTCGCGTCAGAAAAGCCCGTTTCGAATATTCACCGAAATATCCTTCATGATTGTTCGGACCTTTCGGTATTGCCACCTCGAGGAAGCCACCCGATACCTTTTGTTTCCACCCCGAACGATAGATGACTCTCGCTAGCTTTCGATATACTCTTAAATATGACACCGTGATGCTTCGAAAAACGTAGTTTCCATTCTCAATAAGTAATCTATTTTTATATGTATTTCCCTGTCGGATATAGGGGAGATGAAGAACCTGACAGGTTCTTCTTCCCGTTGGGAGAGGAACTGCTCTGAAACGATGGACGCCTGAATTCACCGACACCATCTCCATTTCCTGGCTGACCGGGGACCGCACTTCCTGGACCAAAGTATAAAAGATTCAGGACTCGGTCGTTCTTCCATACCACTCTCTTTGAGGAAAGAGAAGGGGCGAGAATGGATCGCGATCTATTCGAAAGTGGTTAAAAAGAGGTACTGAGTAATCGAGACTGTGAATAGAAAGGGAAGGAGCCCCTTTTTGAATAATGAAGAGAATTAAGGAAAATCCGAATAAGACGTAAATGACTTTCGCGAACTGGAACCCGATTCCGACTATGGATTGAAATTTTCCGAAAAAAGGGAGGAAAGCTCTATTACTCGCTTTCGTAGGAAAGATCGACTTCGAGGTTTTTTCGGAACAGCAGGTTTACGTTAAAAATAGGAGATGTGGTTTCCGCTAGGAACCGGAATCCGCTTCTCCACGCATTAGTCGGAAATCCTGTTTCCGATGCCTTAGTCGGAATTATTTTTTACATTGAAGTTCTCCACATCGGTCGAAACAACGGTAGGTCTCTCGACAAGTACGGTGATGTTAAATTGGATGAGGCAAACGGAGAGAGAGATTTAGGTGTTTCTACCTGCAGGTCTTATTTGACACGAGCTAATCTTCGGCACTCGATCAGTGAACGGAGCGAAGGAGGCGAATAAAAATAAAGTAAGATACAACACACAACACAGCTCCGATCAGGACAGTAACTTTTTAATTACAGATTGGTGAACGCATGGAATGAGTAAGATGACGAAGTAGTGGCTGCCCCTTCTGTGACTATCTTTAAGAGGATGTGCCATTTCGAAATGAAATTTGCAAATGGGCCATAAGAAAGGGGAAGGGAGGCAATTTTCATTGCAAATCGTAGATTAGCTCTGGTCTCCCCATCTTTCGCATGAACTTGGAAACTAGAGTTGCCGTGGATCTCGAAAGGGATTGCTGGCATCGCTCACAGCAATGCCTCCCGCCAGCTGCCGTGAATCCATGGATTTGAAGGATCCATGATGAATTACCGGGTGATTCCTCAGCTGGTCACCACATGGGTTCGCACGAGCTTTTGCAAAGAAACCCATCACCCTAATTTTCTCGTTTGTTTCCATGTCTCTAAATGCAATTAACAAAGTTTGACGAACAACTCAAAGAGGCCGGTTAGAGTGAGAGTTTTTCAAAGGGTTGGATTGTTTTCCCGTATTGCAGTCGCATTGGTAGATGAAAAAAAAACATACAGGTGTACAGTTTGGGAGCTTGGATCTTGCAAAAAAAACCTGCAACAATACGGTGACTTGCGGATCGTCGCTGTGTTGTGTGTTGTATCTTACTTTATTTTTATTCGCCTCCTTCGCTCCGTTCACTGATCGAGTGCCGAAGATTAGCTCGTGTCAAATAAGACCTGCAGGCTTTATACATATGAAATTGTCCATGTTGCATATAAACGTTTTGGAGGACGCGCAACATTTTTTCAAAGGGGTCGTTAGACATCCAGTGTACCAGAATGAGCACCTTTTTGGCGCTCGATTAAGGTGTCTCTTAGTCTCGAATGCTGCATTTGAAGGACATTCGTCGAACGTTTAAGATGTTTTCATGAAGCATATCAATGTTATCCATCTTGCATTAGCTTAAAACAAAGATTCGCAAAACTGACGCTAGATGGCGCCAAAGTAGTCGCTATAGCGGGTCAATTCCTGATACAGCTGGAAACAGTCACCAATACTTTCCACAATTAAGCCAATCTTTCTTCACATAAATCAGAGCGGGATACTCTAATTATTGAATATTGAACTATAGGAATATTTTATACCTACAGACAAATTAATACCTTACCTACAGGCAAATTAATGGGAAGGGAACCATGGGGTTTTTTGTGTGTGATAGCTCCACACGGCAAATGCTTCGAAATGTAAACTGTGCGTTGCAACACAAATCTTTCTTACCTGCCGAGGATATGGCTTTGAGTAATGATCGGCCTTACGGAAGGGGTTGAGTTTAATTTCACGGAAAATAGGATATTCGCTCACGTCTCCCCATCATTGGGATGGATGATGAGACGAGAGTAGGCGTGGTACTCTTAAGGTGACGTAGGCATCGCTCACTGCAGTGCCTCCCGCATGCATGCTGCCGTGAGTAGAAGAGTTTCAAGACGAATGGTGGCGATATAAAGAGATTGTGTGGAGAAAAACACAACCATTTGCTACATGACGTTTTGGGGTTGACCTTTGGTTTGTAAAGAACTCATGTTAAGCGGACAACAAACCTCGCTGAAGCCATAGAAGATTATGAGAATATCTTTCTTCGCCTAAAGTTGGAAAAATTGTTTGTGCTTCTGATGATTTTCCAGAACGATCGACGAACCAGGATATTAACCAAATTAAATTAATCCCGTTGTGCTATTCAGGGCCAGAAGCGATGGGTTGAGCGGTTTCAGTGAACCATCGGCTGAGCGATGTGGCACGTGGAGGCCATTTTGCAAAGCCAAGGTCACCAGACGTATCCCTTCGACATTTATGGAGTTCACGTGTGAACTCCATAATCCCCTACCGTGTTTTTGGATCACTAGTTACTATAGCGAAGACGGTACGTTCCGGGCCCACTCTGACAGACTAATCTATGCCAGAGGAAAAAGTACATATCTTGTACCTCGGAGGGAAGGATCCCAGTGAAGAACTTTATGGGTGGGACGAAGTACTGCACATCCCTGATCCCTTCTTCAACAAAGGAACCACAGGAGTTGTCATCCAGGACTCTCTCTTCCTCCTGGGTGGGGAGAAAAGTCCCTGGGAAGCAGGCTGGCTGAACGTGTGAACTCCATCGTGAGACCAAGAAGCTCGAAATTCTAACCAATTAACTACTGGAAACATGTTGTTAACGAACTTAACTTGGGATTCTCTTAGCCACTTTCTCTTCCATTGACACCGGATCGATATGTCACGAGCCGTCAAATCAAATGATCTTTGCGAAGGAACTGAAACTTGCGGTGCAAAGGCGCCTTCGTGAGAGGGATCAATCTGGAACATCAATGTTAATATCTTGAGGATATGCCATCTGGAGCATTGTCGAATTTTCAGGTTTAATCTCGATTGCATGCTTAATATTTCGCCCATCATCGTCTTCCACCACAAGGCGTTTCATCAGCACCACAAAGACGAACGTTAGAATAGCAGAGGTGCGTATTCCGGACGGGTTTGTCTTCGGTACGAGAGCCTACTAAGAGATTGCTCCAACATGCAAAGTCTACCAATTGAAAGGTGATACCAAGCAGTTGTTGAGATGTATGAAGCAGAGAATGCCATTCGCGTAGGCAAACGGGCGATCGAGCGGAAGACGACGAGGAATGTGGCGCAGCTACGAGGACACTGAAGCTCGGAATGAAGTCGGCGAACCTAGAGGTCCAAGAAATATCAACGCCACGAAGAACAATCTTAAGACCCTTTTACAGTAAAGTCAGCGGAAGGAGTGGAAAATCGGGTGGGTCCCCCAAGTACGACGGTGGGGAGTCAACTCCCTCCTCCACACCTGAGAATCGGCACGTGGAGGAGGATGTGGGAGCTGAAGTCCATGAGCTGTTATTAGATGCAGGTGCGGAGGATGACGCGAGGATCTGTTGTGGAGTGGAAATTTCATCACGTGCAGGCCACTTCCAAGTATATAAGCTCCAGCCGCGATTCCCTTTCAATGCCACTACACAGCAACCACATCGAAGGAAGCAACTGACCTGCAACCTTTGCGAGTTTCTCAGACGTGGAAAAGTGAGTCTTTGGCGTGATCCTCTCCGCCATTCGACCTTTTCGTGAGGTTTGGTCGAGCATCATTTCCGAATACTAATATACTGCATCTTGTTTCGGTAATTGATGTTGATGAGGAGGTCTTTAGGGCCGAAGTAAAAATTAAAATAATTCTGTATGGTGAAGCTGAGATTTTATTTCCCACCACGGTTGTTTCTCGGAGCTATGGCTTATTTCAGATTTAGTATTGCAGTGCGAACATGTGTTGCAGAGTGGGAGAAGAAAATGAAGTTCCAGCTGGCAACGACAATCTTGGCAACGATGCTCTTCCTTGCAGCTTTGTGGCAGAGTGTTCATGCCGACGGCTGCGAGGAATCATCTTGTGTTGCCAAGTGCCAACAGGGGAAGTGTGAAACGGGAGCGTGCTTGGGCGAGAAAGGCAGCGAAGTCTGTAAATGCAACATTTGTCCAGCTAGTTGGAGTTTGTGCTGGGGCACTTTTTGTTACAACAAACAATAATGGATTCCAACTCTTCCCTGGATCGTCATACCATTTCCTGGGAATAAACGTTGCTGAATGATATTACAAGCTGAAGTTATTTACGCTTCCGAGAAGGTGCCCCTGGAAAACTGGAAGGAGAAAGGGGAGAATCGGAAATGTACCACGAATACGCATTCCAGATGGTTTGGCTTCCCTACGCAGGACTTCCTCTCTTCCGACGAAAGAAAGAGATTACTCGAACCCTTCTTATTACCCATTCATGTCACATTTTACAAGTTCGTTTAAGAACAGGCCAAGAAAAAAAGTATTTCCCGTTGATGCAATCATCAACATCATGTGGCAGGTACACCTCTTTGCCAATTCGTTTAATTGCTTCTCGCACATGTGAACTCCATTCACGTTGAAGTCATACGAGGTGAGCATGAAAGGTGACCTTGGTTCTGCAAAAGCGCCTCCATGTGCCACATCACTCAGCCGATGATTCACTGAAACCGCTTCTTTTTACCGATCAGTAGTCCCGTGTCGGGTCCGAGCGTTCGTGCAAAAGAAAATTGGCTTCCATCTATGATATTAAGTAGTCGCAAAAGGGACAATCACAATGCGTTCCACGGTTTCACTATGCATCTACCGTGAATCATAAAGTCAGGACCCTATACATATTTTACTATGGTATAACTCTTATTTCCATTGAAATGAAATTTTAAATTAAAAAACCCTAATGATGAAGCCATTCATTTCCGGTAAATTGAAGTTCACTTTCAGTCGATGATGGTAATTAATGATGTCATCATGAATCTGTAGAGGCACACCCAGAAAAGTGGCGTTCAGTGAAGAAAACAAGCATATTATTAAATGTTTATGACAGAGTAAACATTATGGAACGATGAGATAACTAAAAGAACGGTGACGTCGTGCTAGGCCGTCTATGTTATCACAAAAGTGAATGGATTCCAACCCTTCCCTGGATCGTTACACCATTTCCTGGGGAGAAATACTGCTACCGAAAGACATTACTAGCTGGAGTTATTTACGCTTCCGGGAATGTGCCACTGGAAAACTGGAAGTGGATGCGGAAAAGTCGGAAATGTACCATTGGTGCACATTCCAGATGGTTTTGGCTTTCTTACAAAGGACATGGAATAGATTCCTCCAACAACTATTTCGCATTCATGTCACAGTTTACAAGTTCGTTTATGGGTTTCCTTTGATGCTGCGGTTCAGTTGAAACCGTAGCAGACCTCGTCCAATGTTTACTGGGTGCGCCATAAGTCTCTTGATGAAATGTTCCATGACCGTACATCCAATGCACGCACCGCAAAGACTTTGTAGTTTGCACTTTGACGTTAACAGAAAGGGGTGATGAGTGAAAATATTCTCCTCCTCGTAGAGAGCAGGTATGCAATGGATGAGGACTGAAGAAGATCGAGTTGGCATCCATTTCCATCGCGATCGAATGCACTATCCTCATACGTCCGGACTATCATTACTAAAAACATTTTTCCTTGCAAATGGCTGAACTTGCGATGTTTACCTGAGTCTGAATAAACCAAGATAGTGGGCGTTTAGCAGAATATCTCTTTCGTATTTTCCACCGCGACGAATGTGCGTTTCTTCTTGTTTGAGCATGTGCGCCAATTCTACAGCCCGAACGCTTCAAGAGATAAATTTCGGGTATTCACGTGAATCTTTCTCATCATCCCAGGATGTGTCTTTGCAAAACTACTTAAATGAATAGTCACGGAAAGGAAGAATCACGTCTGGCGTTCCACGGTTTATAAGAGGTGTATAAGCAAATTCGGCTGGTTTCCTATATTTTTACCGATACCATCCGGTTGAAAAGTGGAATATGCTGCACGTTTTCCATTCGCTTGATGACGAAAATTGAGTGGCTGAGGTCCGACCTCGAGCGAGCTGATCGAAAGTCTAAATCAGGTCTTTCTACTGTACACGACTCTTCAAAGGCCTTCGGTGGTATATTCTTAAACGCAATGAGTAACATTTTTGAAACTCGATTTTTAGAGTTTGCCAGTGAATTAAACGAGATCTATTTTCTGGGTGATGCTTCAGGAAATCGGTTACGGCAGATAAAATCGAGAATCCATCCGCGCCATCATCGCGCGCACTCGGCACCCAAGATCACGAGAAAGAAGAGTCACTTAAATAGCTGTTACTCAATGAGCGTTTCCGCGAGTCGCCTGGGCCGTCATAAGTGCGGAGAACCGCCGCCTTTGGGCACAGGCACGAAATGAGAATTTATTCAAGAGGCAGATGTATTACTTATGTCAATTACATGCAAGTCTGGTGGCTCTTTCGAACGATATTGCAAGGGAAGTGCAATGAATCCTGTGTAGGGCTAGATTATATATAGAGGGCAGAGTGGCCTTTAGTTTGTGACATCAATTCTTCAAACCACATCACGGATTCGTCATCTCTTGCTCATGCGTTCGTAAGCAAGATCATGTTTCTTTCCTTCAAAATTTCTGAAACACTCGCTACTGATCTCATTTGACTCGTGATTATCTTCGGCACTCGACCATATCAATGGATCATTGTCAACAAATAGGAAGGATAATAATTTAGTAAAATCCCTGAAACGAAATTGTAATAAAACAGAGAGCGCGCCGATGTCATTTATCAAAGCACAATTCACCGATCATTCCACGAAGCACCTCAGCACGTCAATGGAGCATAGTGCCCATGAAGAAAAAAAAACATTTGAATGTTCTTAATTACGTCAGAATATTTTGGACACAAAATGAAACTGCTGAACCTTCATCCAGGAAAAAAGAAATTTCCCTTTGATGCAATCATCAACATCTTGTGGTAGGTACCCCTAATTGCCATTTCGTGCGATTCCTTCTTCGCACACGTGAACTCCATTCACGTCGAAGTCATAGGAGGCAAGCATGTCTGGTGTCCTTGGCTTTGGAAAGCGCCTCCACGTGCCATATCGCTCTCTGCTGTCGTCCTGCTGACGTCCATGCGATGTTATTAGTTGCAGGTGCGGAGGATGACGCAGGAGGATCTCGTGTGGAGCGAAAATGTCCTCCCGTGAAGGCCACTCCGAAATACAGTATATAAGCTCTCACGCGATATCCACTCAGTGCATTTACACGGCGACCACAACGGAGGAAGCACCTGACCAGCACCCGTTGCGAGTTTCCCGGACGCGAAAAGGTAAGATTACCATGTGAGCCTCAGGTCTTTTTGGTGGAAACGGATATTTGAACATTTGAAACTCGATTTTTAGTGTGTGCCAGTGAATTAAACGCGTTCTCTTTTCAGGGTGATGCTTCAGGAAATCAGTAACGGCAGAGAAAATCGTGAGTGGCTGCGAAATGGATCCATCCGCGACATCATCGCGCGTTCACGGCAACCAAGATCACGAGAAAGAAAGGTCACTCAGCAGATAGGAGATGAGCGTTTCCTTGAGTCAATTAAGCCTTTTAACGCTAAGATCTCCATCCATAGAATCATTATGAGAATGAGGAATTTTTCCCTCCACGGACGACTGAGCTCCCCATGCCACCTGCGATGGCGCTTGCGGTGTGGTCCTCACTTCCTCATCCAATCAAGAGATGGCGCCAACGCAATAGTCCTCAGTTCGTCGTCCCCTCCAGAGATGGTGCTTGGATTGGTGGCACGAGAGAGCCTCTCATGGACTTAGTTCTCGTCACCTCCCGTCTCCCTGGCAACATTGTGTCATTTTACAGAAAGTCATTGAAAATTCACAGAAATTCCTCACACTCAAAACATATTCCTACCATTTACAATGAACAAGGCCAAGGACTTACCTTTCGGTCGTGATGAAGGCGAGGGAACTGGTGATAGAGGTCACGAGGAGATCACGTCTAGACTACTCTATTTCTCAGCTAACAGCAGCTTTTATACCCTCTCTTTCCTACTTCCATGGAGTGGTCGACCTTGACACACCCCCTTCCCATGCAAGATATCCATCTCCCCTACTTCTGGCTTCCTTTTCCCCTTCTCCCTTGATCTGATTACGAGTCCGTTGGCGAACGAATTTCTTCCCTATCATCTCCCACTGTCTCTTCAAAGCACGCTGTGCCCATTTCCTTCGTTTAAATGCGAATTCTCCCCACTTAGTGAAATGCTTAATAATTATCTCCTGGTATTGAACGTTGCCGTAGGCGATGGGATCTTCGCTCTCCTCCCCTTTCTTTTCTCCTGTCTCTGCTCGTCGCTTTACTCCTTTTACTCCTCATGTCCGAGAAGGAAGAGGTGGGGAAGATATGGGGATTTTCAATCCTGGGGAATTTTTCTCGCACGTCTTGTCGTGCTTTGGACTCGTCCACGATGATGTCTTAGGATCGCAAGAACATTTGAAATCTTTATGGGCCATCACAGAAACAGAAATAATGGAATCACTCGGCCGAGTTAAATAAATACTCTCACCTTGCACGCGATCCAAAATAAATTCATCCGGGGCATCACACGGCGACATGCAAATTCGGATATACGAAGCTGGTACTGCAACGCATGACGGCCCAACACGTCGTTACGTAAGGGTTTCTGTAAAACTCCCTCCTGAACGCATCGCGCATTGGAATGTCTAGTTGAAAGCACAAGTGCAACTTGAATTACGATACTCAACCTTCATTTTTCTGGTTTGCATGTCCAGATTGTGGATGAGGTCCGACCTCGAGCGAGCTGATCGAAAGTCTCAGGTCTTTCTACTGTACACGACTCTTCAAAGGCCTTCGGTGGTATATCCATAAGCGCAGTGAGATATATTTTTGAAACTCGATTTTTAGCGTTTGGAAGTGAATTAAACGAGATCTATTCTCAGGGTGATGCTTCAGGAAATCGGTAACGGCAGAGAAAATCGAGAGTGGCCGAGAAATGGATTCATCCGCGGCATCATCGCGCGCACTGGGCACCCAAGATCACGAGAAAGAAAGGTCACTTAACTAGCTGATACTCGAAGAGCGTTTCGCGAGTAGCCTCGCCAACTGGGCCGTCAGAAATACGGAGGACCGCCGTCAATGAGCACAGGCGCGAAATGAGAATGTTTTCGACTCGGGTAACCCATTCCGCTAAAGCTCGAGCAAAACAAGAAGAGGTCAAGAGCCATGGCGTCTGCGCGCTCCTTCAAGACCATGTCTCACTCGTGAAATCGCGCGACGTCGGTGACTTGTTTGTCAGCACTCCTACCGGGGGACGCAGGTTCGGAACTAAACTTTACGGGGATTTTCGTCGATATATTTTTTTCTTTCAGGGAGGGGGAGTTATTATGGTTCCAAGGAAATATGTAATATCCATTCCTATTAGGAAGGGATATTATAAATGTAATTCCAATGATATTCCAGTAAGAAGTCAAATATTTCAACGGCAGAGTTTTCACAAAGCATACGAGAATAGCAATGCTTACGATGGTTAAAACTCCAGAGCAATTGGAGTACAAATAAATCCTAATAAATTTGCAACTAAACTGTTCTGCCCGCTGGAGAACTGCATGGATTGATATTTCCAGACAGCTCGAAATGAAGTCGGCGAACCCAGAGGTCCAGGAACTATCGACGCCACGAAGAACAATCCTAAGACCTTTTTACAGGAAAGCCGGCGAGAAGGAGTGGAAAATCGGGTGGGCCCCGAAGGAAGACGGTGGGGAATCAGCTCCCTCCTCCAGACCTGAGAAGGAGGAGGATGTGGGAGCTGAAGTCCATGCATTGCTATTACATGCGGGTGCGTAGGATGGCGCAGGAAGATCTCGTGTGGAGCGAAAATTTCCTCGTGTGAAGACCACTCCGAAGTATATAAGCTCTCACCGCGATACCCATTCATTACATTTACACGGCGATCACATCGGAGGAAGCACTTGACCAGCACCCTATGCGAGTTTCCCGGACGCGAAAAGGTTAGCTTATTCAGATAGCCTCTCCACTTTTGGACCTTTTTATGAGACCACCCTTACGGAAATGTCCTATAGGAAACCTTTAGCGATTTCTTATAGGAAACCTATAGACTTTCCTATAGGTTTTTGAAACACGAAAAACCTATAGGATTCTGTAGAATCCTATAGGATCCCTATAGGGTCTCATAGGTCTCCTGACCTATAGGACTCAAGGAGGATATTTTGGGTTTCGAAATCCAGGCATTTCGACGGAAAAGGCGACAGGGGTGAATAATGGCACAGCATTTCGGTGTAAATCAAAAGCCGATTAAGGGTTTTTCCATGGTAGGGGGACATACATTATTAAATCCAGTACTGCAAGGGTCTGCATACTTTATGACCCCGCCCAACATATGTCGCTGGATTGCATGTATACTTCCTTCGGTAGAGAAAAGTAGTTTCCTTCTCTCAACCTAGGGAAATATAAGAGAACCTGCGAGCACGTCTCTTTACTAAAACTTTGTTTCGATAGAGTCAACTCATTTTCGTACGTGGTTTTCAAAAGGAATAAGGGCGTAATTCTTCACGGGACTCAATGATTCTATCTGGAAGATGGGGATGACAAAGAAGGAAATGTTGAAGTTAATTGATTGCTACAATGAGGCAAGGCGAGACATTTGGGGACGNCTCAATGATTCTATCTGGAAGATGGGGATGACAAAGAAGGAAATGTTGAAGTTTATTGATTGCTACAATGAGGCAAGGCGAGACATTTAGGGACGTACAAAACTCTCTTGTGAGAGATGACTCCTTGGGTAAGGGGAGGGCAGTTTTGTGCCCTTTGAGGAATGTGAGAACCAAATACTGCCATCTAGTGGCCTAAAGGAGAACTTCAAACGGAACCCTATTGGCCTATAGGGTTCCGTATACGTCCTATAGGGATCCCTTTAGGTCCTATAGGGATCCCTTTAGGTCCTATAGGTCCTATAGGGATCCCTATAAGTCCTATAGGGAACCCTATAGGTCCTATAGGGAACCCTATAGGTCCTATAGGGAACCCTATAGGTCCAATAGGGAACTCTATAGGTCCGATAGGGATCCCTAAAGGTCCTATAGAAAATCCTATAGGTCCTATAGCGAACCCAATAGGTCTTATAGGGAACCCTTCAGGTTTTATAGGGAATCCTACGGGTCCTTTACAGAGCCCTTTGGGTCCTATAGGGAACCTATAGGCCTTATGAGGAACCCTATTGGTTCTATAGGGGGCTCTATAGGTTCTATAGGGAACTCTATGGGTTCTATAGGGGACTCTATAGGTCCCGAACAGAACTCTATGGGGCATATAGGAACCAATAGGATTCCTTTAGGTTCCTATAGGATTCTCATAGGAATATTAAGGAATCCTATAAAACATTTTCGTCAGGGCAGATCAAACATAATTTTAGATCGCTAACATGCAGCACCTTCTTTCGTTATTTCCTGTTGATTCGGAGGTCCTCAGGGCCGAATGCAAAATGACATTTCCTTATCAAGCAGTGTGACGAACGTTCCACTTGGTTCTGTCACATCTCCGGCAGCGAGGGCGTGAATGTTTCAATATATTTCAATCAGTTTCTAAACATCAGCTACCCATTCGGGGGCGAAGGTGAATTTTCAATTCTGTTTAGGATTTCCGGTGANCGGTTACGGCAGAGAAAATCGAGAGTGGCCGAGAAATGGATTCATCCGCGCCATCATCACGCGCACTCGGCACCCAAGATCACGAGAAAGAAAGGTCACTTAAATAGCTGATACTCGAAGAGCGTTTCCGCGAGTCGCCTCGCCAACTGGGCCGTCAGAAATACGGAGGACCGACGTCCATGAGCACAGGCGCGAAATGAGAATGTATTCGACTCGGGTAACCCATTCCGCTAAAATATCATACGGAAAGAGATTCTCGTTTGGGTATTTCTGTCGTCGACGCTGAAAATCAAGAGGAAGGCGTCCCACACGCAAGCCGGCCGACGATCCGGATCCGACCAGTCCTCAGTCCGGGACTCGTTCGCAAATTGCCTCAGGGGAAGGCAGACGAAGGAGGGGGAATGGAGAGGCGACTTCTGTGTCGATGGAATCATTCATCGGGATCAGAGGCCGAGTGGTTCAAGCAAAACAAGAAGAGGTCAAGAGTCATGGCGTCTGCGCGCTCCTTCAAGACCATGTCTCACTCGTAAAATCGCGCGACGTCGGTGACTAGTTTGTCAGCACTCCTATCGGGGGATGCAGGTTCGGAATTAACCTATTCGGGGATTTTCGTCGATATAAATTATATTTCTTTTAGGGAGGGGATGTTATTAGGGTTCCTAGGAAATATGTAATATCCCTTCCTATTAGGAAGGGATATTATAAATGTAATACCAATGATATTCCAGTAAGAAGTCAAATATTTCAAAGGCAGAGTTTTCACAAAGCATACAAGAATAGCAATTTTTACGATTATTAAAACTCCAGAGTAATTGGAGTACCAGTAAATCCTAATAAATTTGCAACTAAACTGTTCTGCCCGCTGGAGAACTGCACGGATTGATATTTCCAGACAGCTCGAAATGAAGTCGGCGAACCCAGAGGTCCAGGAACTATCGACGCCACGAAGAACAATCCCAAGACCTTTTAAAGCCCACTCCGAAGAATATAAGCTCTCACCGCGATACCCATACCGTGCATTTACACGGCGATCACATCGGAGGATGCACCTGACCAGCACCCTTTGCGAGTTTCCCGGACGCGAAAAGGTTAGCTTATTCAGAGAGCCTCTCCACTTTTGGAACTTTTTATGAGACCAGATCAAACATAATTTTAGATCGATAACATGCAGCACCTTCTTTCAAGTAATTTCTGTTGATTCGGAGGTCCTCAGGGCCGAAGGCAAAATGAAATTTCTGTATCAAGCAGTGTGGCGAACGTTCCACTTGGTTCTGTCACATCTCGCGCCGCGAGGGCGGGAATGTTTTCAATATATTTCAACCAGTTTCTAAACATTTGCAACCCATTCGGGGGCGAAAGTCAATTTTCAATTTTTGTTTAGGATTTCCAGTGTGACTTGCAATAGGTATGCAGCGAACATCGGAAGGAGCCGGGTACACCATTCTCTTAGTCCAACATCGCTTAACCTGAAGTGGATATCTTCCCTACTCTTCATTCGCGTTTAATGAGATGGGCTCGGCATTCCACGCTGCATTTACGATTTAAATCCTTCGTCGAAACACCTTAAGTTCTTGATTTCGTCACGGCAACAAGATTCCGGTCAGAACAATCATCACGGCGGAACGTTTTCCTGTGCAACTTAGTATATTCTCCTGGGAGGATGCCGTATCCACTGTTGAATTTCACGGGAGTCATCCCAGAAGATATTATATCCATAGGATCTACATGATACTATAGGATGAGAGACATTTCAATATCGAATTAATGTTAGAAACAATGCCTTCATGACGCTGGGAAGTTTTTTTGCCGTTAAAAGTTACAGATTGAAGTCCTTGTTCTGGTTCGATATTTCTCCAGGCCTTCCTCTGGTCCTTCATTAGCCTTTACATGGTCAATGATGAAGGGAGGCGAAGTCTAATCGGATGGGAGATCCGGAACCTGAGACAAAAAAAGAACTGCCACCGGGTGCCTGCCAAGTATGCCCTGCCACGGTATTCCTCCTCGGGCTTTAATCTCGCTTCAAGTTAAACTTACTTTCTGAACACCTTTAAATGCCACGAAGGTACTCAAGTCACAAATTGCCGTGTAGACATCACTCTCAGGTTAAAAAGTGGGGGTGGGGAGGGGGAAAAGATACCCTTTGCCCCCATCTGGAAAAATGAGGGGGGCATTTGGCACCTGTGCCCCCCCCCCCCCCCCCCCCCCCCCCCCCCCNCCCCCCCCCCCCCCTTTCCAAAGGCCTAAACTATTGGAGCTATAAAAAAAATTTAACATATTTGGAATCCTGGTTTTTATTTTATTCCATTCAACCCTATTTTGTTGTTTCTGATGAAAATGTGTACGTATACATAAGGCTACCTATAGGATCTCCTAGGTTCCTATGAGAATCGCATATGTCCGTGATGGACATCACATCTCTTAGAGCAGTGGGGGATATAGAAATTATTCATGGAAAGGCGCTTCTATAATCACCCCCGACTCCTCCTCCCCATCCCTGCATCCATGTCTGTGGTGGGGGGGTGGGGGTGGGGGGACGAGAAAGGATCCAGGTAACAAACGAATACAGTAAAAACTCGTTATCTCGAAATTTTTGGGACAAGGCAAATCTTTTTGAAATACTCGAAGTTCGACATATTAGGAATTGCCTCTACCCGGAAAAAAAAATTACAATTAAAATTCAAATGACCCACGTCATGGAATATAATGGGGCAATTTTATTCGTCCTCAAGAATCTCATTTCAAGAAGCGACGACCTCCTCATTATAATTAGCATTTATTCATGCCCGTGGAAACTCTAATACTCCGTATGCAAAATTCATTCATCACAACTCCCTTCATCCGGTACTACGGAAATCAAATATGACCGGATGTGAGACCGATAGACAGACAGGGAAAGTGCTCGAGGTTGCTTCTATTTATAGCTTTTCGGTTTTACTCCTCAGGTTTAATCCTTTCCACTGGCGTCAGTGAAGGAGGGAGAAACGGAAATAAATCGATTTAAAAAAAAAAGATTTTCTACTGAACAGGTTCTTTTGCCTTTCACAGATTCGCCAAACCGATAGGTCCGACAATAATTTTCTCCCTCCCCGCCTGCAACCCCGATTTCAAGTTAACCATAATGA